CAATAAAGTTATTGAAGTAATTGTTTTTTGATTAGCATCTTGGTCTCCGGTGTAACCCGAGGAACCAACAGATTCGAGCACAGTTATCGCAATGTGACTGTTAACCATGAGCTACTCTTTTAATAACAATGACTGTTTCTTTATTGTCCTTTTTGAATTAGTGAACACTTTTGAATCATATTTTTAGGAAGGGTATTGAGCTTGAGTCTATATGAGGATAGAATAAGTCTAAATGGAAAAATGGAATGAAGAAGGAACAAAGTTTTTTAGTATAGAACAGTAATCAAAATCCTCAAAGTCAACAAATTGGTCTTCTGAACTAAACTGTTGAACACGAACCAGATGGAGCAATTGGATATTACATGTAAGTACTTTTAACAATAATAAAGGATTCACATCTATACACAAAGGAGTGGGGGAGTATGGAACAAGCCAGGCTGGCTTCTTTCAAGAAACAGTTTGAATATCTGGATGGGATCCTAGGGTCAAATTACAAAGTATTAAACGTGTCTTTAAGTGTGGAGTCTAGTGAACATGCAAAGGAACAAGTAATAGGTTTATTTCATGCTGAAAAGAGAAGAGAGAAAACACAACGTTTCGGCTGTCAAGCCTTCTTCAGCCGTGCGAAAGACAGGGCAGACAGCAAGAACAAAAGCTGGGAGAGGGGAGGAAGCAGAGAGGTCAATCAGGAAGTGCAAAGTGGAGAGGGGTCTAGGGAGTATGTTGAGTACTTTAATCATGCTTAGTATTTACATCTTTATTATTATTGCCGTTGTTATTGTGGCACCCTCGCCTGGCATTACGTCTGAAGAGCAGCCAACCAAGGTGCGCGGTGAAGGGCAGGACGGGAGTAGAAGCCAGGACGGAGACGGGTGTACACCATTGTAAAGGTTGCCCAGATCTCTGTAAATAGTTAATAGGGGAAAGGGACATCTGACTAGCGGGGACCAGCCCGCCATTCCTGCACCTGCTGCACCTACAACGGGCAGGTGCCATGGCAGCTGTACGAGGCCCAGTTCCAGATGGCAGCCTGGGTGAATGGCTGATCCCAGGTGGAGATGGCAGGCCAACTTGCTGCGGCCCTGGAAGGGAAAGCCTGTCAGGCTCTGCTGGATGTCCCCGATGACCAGCGGTACAGTTACGCCCTCCGGAGGCATTTTGGCGGAAGAGGGTAGACGCGGGATTCTGCGGGCAAAGCTGGCCCAACGCCAGCGCCTACCAGGAGAGTCCCTGGGCCCTACTTTGCCCGCCAGGGTTACCCTACCCTCTTGGAAGAGGCACACAGGGAGATAGCACTCCAGGCGTTCCTCCAAGCCATTGCGCCGACAGAGATGCAGCGCCATGTGATGCTGAGCATGCCAGTTTCCCTGGAGCAGGCTTTGGCTCTGGCTGAGCAGGCCGATGCCGTGTTCGAGGAGACCAGCAGGCACAGCCGGAAGGGCTCTCCCTGCCGGGCGACGCAGGCTGCTTCAGAGGAATCGGGCAGGGAGGAGGAGATGGTCAGCGTGGCAACACTGGCAGAGCGGCGGCGGCGGTTCACCTGTCACTGCTGTGAAGAAAGGGGGAATTTCACCTGGGAGTGCCAAGTGCTGGAGTGCCAGGGCCATTGGAGGCCATCTGGAAACGGGAGCGGGGCGACCTAAACAGGGGCACGCTGACCTTAAAATACGCTACCCCCACTCCAGGAGGAGTGCTGCAACCCACCTGCCACTGTTAAGGATTGGCCACAGCCGGGGTTTGTTTCTCCCCCGCCTCATTAAGGGCAGTCCTGCCGGGCACCAAGACAGCCGGACCCCCAGGATGGGAAACCACCAACCTGCACCTGAGGATGGTGATTGGACAGAGCACGGAGGTTCTCGGCAAGCAGGCGCTTACAGTACAGTTTGTACAGTACAGTTTGGAGCTGTGAGGGTGAAACACCCCTTTCATTTCTCCCTGCCGCAGATAGATGATGCCCTGGATTACATTTCCAGGTCAACCTGGTTCAGTTCGCTTGACCCCTGCTGCGGCTACTAGCAGGTTCCACTCGCTCCTGAGGCTGGCCCAGAGACGGCCTTCTCCATCGACCAGGGGCTCTGGCAATTCACAGTCATGCCTTTCAGACTGTGTAACACCCCGGCGTGGTTGATGGAGCGAGTGCTGGCATCAGTCCCCCAGAGCAAATGCGTAGTGTATCTAGACGACCTACTCATGCGTGCTCGGGATTTCGAGCAGGCTCTGGCGAACCTCCGGTTAGTGTTGGCTTGCATCCGGTGGGCCGGGTTGAAGCTCAACCCTAGGAAATGCGAGCTCCTGAGGCAAGAGGTTACTTTCCTAGGGCATACAGTGGTGTGAAAAACTGTTTGCATTTTTTTTTCCCTTAATAATAAAAACCTTCATTTAAAAACTGCATTTTGTGTTTGCTTGTGTTATCTTTGTCTAATATTTCAATTTGTTTGATGATCTGAAACATTTCAGTGTGACGAACATGCAAAAAAATAAAAAATCAGCAAATTCTTTTTCACACCACTGTACGGTCGGGCCGTGAGGGGTGGCCACGGATACGGGGAAGGTCGCCACGGTGTGTGACTGGCTGACGCCCCACACCCTGACGGAGCTCCACAGTTTCCTGGGGTTGGCGTCTTACTACCAGAGACTTGTCCAGGATTTCGCCAGCCTCGCCATCCTGGCCTTCCCAGATCTGACGCTGCCCTATGTGCTAGATAGTGATATGGGGGTGGGCATAGGACTAGCACAGGAGGGTCCAGTACAGCTCGTTGCTTATTTTAGCTGAGCCCTCGGCAAGGCTGAGAGAAACTATTGTGTCACATGGAGGGAGCTGCTGGCTGTAGTCTCAGCGGTCCGCCACTTCAAGCCCTACCTGTTCAGGACTAATTTTAAACTACGGACAGACCATACATCTCTCACCTGGCTGCTCAATTTTAGGGAGCTGGATAGTCAATTGGCTAGATGGATTGAGATCCTGCAGGTGTAGAAATTCATGGTCATGCACCGTGCCGTGTCTTGCCACCGGAATGCAGATGCTCTGTCACGCCCCCCCTGCGCAGCAGTAGACTGCAGCTACTGCGCCCAGCAGGAGCAGCATGAGGAGACCTCCCACGCATGGAGGAAGTGCTGCAGCCACATCCCTGAGCGAACCATTTTGTGTGGACCTTGTGGACCTGGCGCAGCAGCAGTGGTTGGACACCCACATTGAGCCGGTGCTCAGTTGGAAGGCAGTGGGAACCCGGCCCATGTGGGAGGAGTTCACCCCTCACTTCAAGTCCATCCAGCGGCGAAGTCTGGTGGCAGCTTGTGGTGCTCCACTGGGCGGTCCTCCAGGCGGTGTGCTTCGGCTCCACAAAAATCCTGCGTCGACTCCAGGGCCACTTCTACAGGGGTCTCTGCCACCGGGACGATCAGCATTTCGGCTGGCCTCGCTCATGTGCATCTTCCAGACATTCTAGTAATTACAGCATTTGGAATAAATAACAGGAGATTATGCTGGAATAATGTATCTTTAATATTGTACAACAAGCTGTTTTCAGAATTTCAGACAGAGAGGTGAAGCACTATGATGAGAATTAAGGGCCTTTCTTGGACTGACAAGGTGAAACCAGCATGTGTTTTCAAAAACTACTCTCAAGCACGAATAATACTTAAAGTAATGTGTGTTACTGTTGACTGGGACACATGTAGGCAATAATGAGAAGTAGAATTAGAACATAATGCTGCCACCATGCTTGACAGTACAATGCTTGTGACTGAGCACTATGGTGGGTTTGCACAGGTGTAGCACTTTGCATTTAGTTTAGAAAGTTCCAGTTTTCACTTCTGTATTTCTGTTAGACAGAGTGGTGATTGTTGCGATTGGAGATTGAATGCAGGATACCTGATGGCTCTAAGGAGCTCAGTGTGGGAGTGCCAGTCTAGACTTGAGAGTTATGAGATTATGAGATAATTCATGTCCCTATTTTTTAATAAATAATATGTGTTCCAAATATGCTAATACTTACAGCATTAGGATGTAACACTTAACATTTAGATCAAAAAGTTCTGATTTAGACCTATGTATTCACAGAGCTTTTTGTATTAAATGCTATAGGATAATTATTATATAATTATATAATTAGCATTGTCATCCTTAATGTTTTTCAGTACTAATTGGATTATATATACATTAACATTAATTTAAATGGAATTTAAATTCAAATTCTCAG